GAACAGAACCTGTTAAAAGTGTTGGACGTTGTAAAGGTATATCAACAGTTTTACCTGATTTCTCATCAAAATAAATATTAAAAAATTTGATACTTCCTTTTGAAAAATGCTGCTCGCAAACCCTGGTATTTTTAGTGGGCTGAAAGTTGTGCGAAAATATGGACACGTTTCTCGTCGGAATAATTGCCACTGCACCCCGGAACACAACACTTATACGGCATGTTTACAGCACAATATCGAACACAAAATACTAAAAACTATCTAAAACGCTGTAAATACTGGAATTACAAACAAGAACGGTCAAACGAAAAAAATCATCTGGCGCTCAGCATAACGTAAACATGTGGTCGCCATCATGTCGCCCTTAGGTTTTACCACCTTACGCCTAGTATGATTGGTCCAATTCACGTGGGAGTTTTGAATCGGTACAACTGGACTCGGTCTTGCGAAATTCCTAAAGCGCGGCGGCGGTGGTGCCGGTTTGCTTCGGAAATACGATCGAACATAGTAAAAGCAAAGTAAATGATGAATGCCTACATACCAAGAAATGCAACCTCGCGCGTATTGGACAACCGAGGCCTTCTTAATATCTAGATGGTATTGGTACAGTTCTGTTCTCGCGCTAAATTCAAAATAAATTCTTTCTAGATAAATAGTTATATATAGTTTGTATATAGTTCTTTAAGTCTTTTTTTTAATCGTTATTGTTTGTTACTTAGTGTAAATAAATTGTGTTTAAATAAATTGTGACTTTTTATCCACACGGAACCGACGAAAAACGTAACAGAATGATTTTCAGTAGAAAACAGATAATGTGTATTTCAATGTTTTTTTTTTGTCTATATACACCGTATGATCGAAAAAAACGGCGTCCATTTGGTTGAAAAATGACGATCGATGGCATTTCCCATATAAATTTACATATAAAATGACAGCGATCTTCATTACATAGTCATTGCTGACGCCATTTATTTTTCGATCATACGATATTTTATTTATATGTAAATTATATACAGGGTGGCGCACCTCATTCGCTTCGGTTGATTATACGAAAACGCAAAGATGTAGAAACAAAAATGTTTATAAATTAATTTTTTCTTTGACCTTTTGTATATTTAGTTGGGATTTATTCTTGGTTTTAGGTCAGTAATTTAAAACACAATAATTAAAAGTTGTTTTTATTTCTTACCTACGTTTCGACCATTCTTAGGTCTTCTTCAGAAAATAATAGCTATTGCCTAGAAACACGATTCAATTTTAAAAAAATACAATTAAATAATACTTTAAATAAACTTACCAAATACATATACACACAACTATATAAAATCATTATAAAATTTAATCAAATAGTACACATCACATATTACATAACAAACAACCACATTACCTAGGACTCTAATATAAATATTATAATATTGAAATATACAGCTTGTTTAGATATTGAACGTCTTTTTTGTCATTAATCGAATGTGAGTTTTTCTGTATTTCGATCATTTCACGGAATTCCCTTTTTTGGCTTATACTTCTGTTAATAATATTTTTGTCTCATTAAAATTAAAAGAGTGCTTTTCCTTCAATTCATAGTTTGTTAGAGCGGTTTGATTTTTTTTGTCATATTTGTGTCCTTTTATCCTGTTTTCTAGGTATTGGCTAGTTTGTCCAATATATACAGAATCGCAATCATTACATGGAATCTGATAAACAATGTTATTTTTTTTTTTTGTTTTTTGGTGTTTTAATTTTTAATTTGCTAAAGATTTGGCCTATTACATTGTTACCTCGATGACATAGAGTTATGTTGTGTTGTTTGAACACATTACTTAGTTGGTGTGACAATCCACTGATGAATGGCAAAGATATGAATTTGTTTTTTTTTGCTTTATTTTTGTTTATAATATTTCCGGAGTTGTAAAATTTATTATTTCTATTTTTAAAAATGTTTTCTATTAGTTTATTTGGATAATTGTTTTTCTCTAAAGCTGTTTTCGCTTTGTTTATAGCATTTTTCCTATACTCGGGATCGGATAGACTTATTGCTCGGTCTGCTAAGCCTATAACAACAGATTTTTTTCTGTGACATGGAATGGTTTGAGTTGAAATTTAGGTATCTTGAAGACCATGTCTCTTTTGTGAACCATTTTGTCCTTAGTATTCCATTTTTATGGTGAATTGTCACATCTAAAAAGTTAATCTTTGTTTCGTCCTCTACTTCCATTGTAAATTTGATGTTACTATTGTATTCGTTTAATTTATCTAGAATTCTGTCCATATAATCTGCTGGTATGGCCGTTAAACAATCATCAACATATCTGAAAAAGAACGGAATACAAATGTCTAGTTTTATCAATACACTTTTTTCTAAATAGTTCATTATACTCTCTGAGCCACAACGCTGGAAATTGAAGCACCCGTAGCACAGCCATCTATTTGTTGGTATATTTTATTAACGTAAGTAAAATACGTAGATTTCAATGTTGTTTCGACCCCTTTAATGAACTCATCCTGTGGGATGTCAGTGTATTTTTTTATTTGATCCCATTTTTTTTTCTTATTATCTGTGAGGCCAAATCGATAGGAATGCTAGTGTACAGGGTGGATCAAATTCGACGCTTTTAAATGGAAACACCCTTTTCTATAGGAGATAGACGAAAACTAATATCGGTGTCTGGAGCTCAATTTTCATCAAAAACATGATGGTGAAAACCGCACATCAATATCTGTTACCGTTTCGGAGTTACGGGGTGTTTTTCAAAATTTGCTGTGTAACGTTAATAGACATGTTTTAATACTTTAAATTATATTAAGTAATAAAATATGTTTGTCTTTAAACAATAAATCAGTGATACTTATAAAAATATTTTTTAAAAAATTTCCCCTCTTTTAAGCCCCGCCCCTCCAATTCCCCTCAATTTAGCTAGTACTGCCAGGCTACACCAGGTGGCGTCTGTTTCCATTTTTTAACATGAAGTTAGCATTTCTTTAATGAACCCTGAATGTACCTATTCTCTGGGTGTACTTAAGATTTTTGATATGCTCCTTCCTTAGTCTTCTTATTCAAAGTATCATGCATAAAGGAGGGAAGACTTAAGATGGCGCTGCTGTAGCAAAAGTTCATCATTTCTACAAAGAAGTGCTAAAAAGTGTAATAAATAATAAATACAACAAATGCTATTCAAAGAACAAATGTAACAATCTGGAAATTTGTTACGTTACTTATAACAGAGTTTAGTATCTGATGAGCATCCACGAGACTTTAAAAACAAATATAGTTAGAAATGTTTACCTTGAAAATAGGAATAGTTGGTACGTTAGTACCCTGTAATATAGAAAATAATAAAAAAAATAACTACCTTAACAAAATCAAAATATATATTTTAAAAAGAGGTAGTATCACAATTCAAGAATCAAAATAAAATGTTCCAACTATACACAAAGCAACAAATTGCATTAAAATTATACATGTATAAATCTAAGTATTTATAAATTAATATTTTAAAATATCTTTATAAAATTGCATTTCTATCGCGTTCAATATTGAAGTTAATTAGGTAAATAAAAAATATTAATAAATTACACATGTCTATGCTTGACGCCATCAGGCTCACATGTAATAACAGCATATATATAAATAATGATAAATCGGCAATTTGATAAATCCATTCAAAATAAGTCCTGTGTTACAGTGCGCGTTTTTATGGCTGCAGTAAAAACATGCGTTTTCAACGGCACCGGTACCGGCACCAACCATATACAATATACAGTGCGCCGCACAGCGGGCCAGCGTTTCTATTCTTGGCATCGTTCGCATTTTGCGTATGCGCATTTACATGTATAGTTATATGGCGCTCCCGAATCTCGAATATGCGAGCGATATTTGAAGATGCGAGTGGTCAAAAATAGGTACCCAGGGTCACTGAAAACATTGAATATCTCCATATACAGTACGTCTATCCGTTCTGTAACTACGGGGCATCCGTAAGGGAGGAAACGACATTCTCTCGATGTTTCTCGTAAAAAATTAGACTATCAATAAAAATTCGACAAATTTGCAAGTAGTCAATGAAATGAGTGGGCGAAGTGTATTGCGGTGACATACACGTCAAGTCCACGTGGGCTCTCTGCCGCTTCTATTAAGGTAGCGATTTATAAAATATATTGCTGTTTATTTAAATGTTTTTGTCCACATTCCTTTTATAAACACAGATCCAGCAGACGTACTTTATGTATTATTATTTCATTAATCTTGTAATAAAATGTCGAAAATCTCTTGATAGTAGGCTTTGCGAAATGCTATTATATTGCGGCAGAAGAGTTTCAACTTTGTAATTTTTTTAAAACGTATATTTAAAAAAAAATTATGATAAATGTAGATGATGGGGGTAAGTTTTTACTGTTTTTCTGCCTCTTTCACATTTTAATAATATTCTCCCATATTTGTATTAGGGTAATTTTTGTTAAAATATATTTTTCAAAAAAAACTTTTAACTTTATGAACGATTTTAAAAAAATGTAGGAATATCGTATTTTTTATACATGTCATTCGCTTAGGTGGTCTTTATACTTTTATGTCGCGCAAGAAAAATCTGACCTAAACTTCCACCCTGTGTGGTAGAGCATATTCTGTTGGATGCACAGTCCGGCGATAGTGCGTCAGGCATCTGTAGCTCCTAGAATAAGTAACCTGGGAATTTTGTTTGTGCAAACAAAGTGCAAACCTAAAGTATATACGAGGATGTATTTCAGGAAAATATTTTAACTTGGATAGGGTGGCTCAAAAAAGTGTGAGTGGACCGGGATGATTTTTTTAAATGGAACGCTCTAAATATTATTGCATTTTTGGCTTCCTTTCTGACCACTTTACATAATCCGCAGATAGGATATAATATATTTGGATAGTTTCAGAGATATTAATAAATAAATAAAAAATATATATTTTTCAACAAGTTACAAAGAAAGTTGATAAAATATTGTATTTTCAAAATAATTACATATAAAATGAAGGCACAGCTGTTATCATATTTTTTTGCAATTGCCTGAAAAGTTTTAAAAATCGATTTTTAAGAAAAAAATAGTTTTATAAAAAGTTGAATATTTTTGGCTTTTGGGACACCCTGTATAACAAAAATTTTCACATATTTGATGCTTCTAGGCTCATACGTTTTTTGGAAACTAGTTAAGGTGTGACTTTGACCTGAATCTGCGAAAATATGATTTTTTATGTGCGTTAATATTGTAACATCCTGTATAAACCATTTCCTATGGGCTAATAATGTTCATTTTTTCATATTTTGTATTGATTTTGTAATTTTAACACATATTGAATAATATCTAGAGTCCGCTGGCCCTCTGTGCGCCTGTGATGCGGCAAAAACGCACAGTATAACAGATCTCATATAAAATCGCGTGCTGTCGCATCTCTGCGTTTTTACTGCAGCCGCAAAAACGCGCAGTGTAAGCCCGGTATTAACTGTGCGTTTCTATAGCTGCAGGAAAAGCAAAAACTGCAAAATGCGCAATGTGACACCGGGCTAAAAGAGACATATTTAAAAAAAATAACATAAATAAGTATTATTAGTGAGTATCTATCTGTAAAGTACAAAGTAATATTGGACGTCCATAATTAAATTATTTAATATGGTCTTAAACTTGAAGGGGGGTTCAATAAAAACTAATTTCTTTATTTTGTGTATTACAGAGAGCTCACTTATCTGGATCGTGTGGCAATATTTCTAGTAGCAAATTCATCTAATATAAATCTATTGAATAATAATTTTTCAAACTGCCGTCGATCAAAGAGTCCATTTGTATAATTCCCTAAATCGACTTCGCCTATCTAATATTTTAAATATTTCGCTTTAACAAAATGGGCCCCTAATTTAGTTTAAAACCAGTTATTTTCTACCGTTATCGGAATCCTCGAATTCCTCAGTCCATCGTAGTTCCGAATCCCTGGACTGGGCACGACCAGTCTCCACGTTTCCGCTGAAGAATTCGTCATCGAACGGGTCGTTTTCGGTCGAAAAAATATTGACCGATCCAGATTTCTTCAAATTGACGTCAGTTCTCCCCGAAAATCGGTTCTTGTTCAGTATCTTCCTTCTTCCTTTCGGATGGGTAGTCACGTTGGCCTTGGTCCCGAACGAGTCTTCTTCATCCTCGGGAAGGTCGGGTTCTTCTTTTATGCTAGATATCCCATTGCCCTCCACGGGGTTGTCGGCTTTTTCACTGGGCGAAAAATCATCCTCGAAGGGACTACTGGGTTTGGCCTGATACCTGGGTGATAGTTTTGATTCCTGGAACGACTCGCTACGCCGATCTTTAAAATTTTTCTCTAGACGCATTTGGCTTTTTTCGAACAAACTTTGTTGTCGCAGTCCTGGAAAAATTTAACAAACAAAATTAAATGAAATTTAAAACATTAGAAAGTATTTTTTCAATAAAAAGATATTTTGATTTTTAAGTCATTATTATGTGTGTATATCGCATTTCTCATTCTCATCAAGAAACAATTATTTTTTACATCAAATCGAAGGTTGAACTGGTGATACGTTTGTTGCTCGAACTTCTATATTTTTTGTACAACAGTTTTAGGGAAGGTTTATTTTAACAGCTTATATTTTTCTTAGGCCATGTATGCACTAAATAGAACCACATAATAAAACAATTTTATAACAACAACTTAGAAAAAGATTATCTAAAACCGCCATCCGATATAACCTAACTAACTTTTCAAACTCGAATTTAAGGTTTCGTATTCACAATTTTAGCCACACACATTGCTCAATTAAAAAAGAACAGGTTTCTAAAAGCCAAATCTGGTGAAAATATGCCCAAATATTAACTTGACTCATAATTTATAACAAAATAGTTATTTCTGCCATAAGAAGCTGTATTTGAAAACCATACGTTAAAAAAGTCTAATGATACGTATACATTGGCGCGCCACGCCGAGAACGCGCGCACCGATTCGCCTCTATTGGTACGTGTTTTCAACTTGCGCTAGATGTGATGTCATGTGCTATCATGTGATTGTTTCACATAATATGTTTTAAAAATAAAATTGCAAATAGCGAATAAAAATAATTAAAATAAAAAAGGGTATTTTACAATTCCCCCCGGCGCGGCCCCGCACCCGTTTGGCTAACCTGTAAATGTCAGCTATGTCGAGAGATGGCGTTACGAAAATGGAACCGATTTATTACAAGGAACTTGGGCTTCTTTTTAGATAGATAGATAGATAAATCTTTATTAGTTCCAAGTAATACAATTACATAAATTGACCCAAGATGGGTGTGGAACAGGTTAACAAAAAACTCAAGATACTAAAACACTCAAATACTACTAAATGTATCGTAATATAAACATGATACCTAAAATACTTTTCTTAAGAGTCTTTATACTGTATTACATAACTGTATTTTACTAGTTTCAATATTTATATAATTTTAACAAGAAAATAAATTGAAAACACAATAATAACTACTACAAATAATATTAAATGCTATATTAACAGCTTACCCTTGTCTGCATAGAATTCATCTAGCGTATAAAATGCCTTGTCTAATAGACAATTTTTTAGGGTTAACAGTAATCTTGGTCTAGGTAAATCAGTAACTGAGAGTGGGAAAGTATTATATATCTTTATAATGCTGTGCTTCACATTCTTCTGTACATACGTGTAGTTGCTCTTGTCGGTTTGTAACATATCTCTATTTCTAGTAGAGTATTGATGTTTTTAACTCTGGTTCTTTAAAGAGACTTATTGTCGGAAACAAATACTACCGAATCCAGAATATACATAGAGATTATTGTTAGTATTTTCCTTTCTATGAAAAATTTGCGACAACTTTCACGATAACTTAATTTGAAAATGCTTCGAATACAGCGCTTCTGTACAATCATTTCATTATCCTATTAACATCCGATGAGTTCCCCCAGAAGATCAAGTATTACAGAGTTTATGTAGGCATAATATGATTGCAACGTCTTCAGATATATTTTCAGAGATAATTTTCATTGCGTAACTAAAACGAGCTATATTAGAATCGACACATGCTATGTGATATTTCCAATCTAACCTTCTATCTACATTAATTCCCAGAAGTGATACATTAATCATTTAGGGTTTCCAAAGTATTAACAGCCTTTAACTCCAGTTCATAATTATCTTTCTCACTAAAAACGATGTTTGCATCATCGGCATAAAGTGTAATATATTCAGAGGATACAGAGGATATATTCTGTGGTTCGTTGTTCAATTGGGACGGCCGGCCGGTGAAGACACCATGCGCATTCCGCGCGCTTTTATCAGTGACTATGTGTGTAAATTCACTTTTTTGTGTTTTTCTTTGAATATTGTTTATTAATGGAGTGTTTAAAGAGTCGCACTACTCATGATTAAAATTGCGTAGTTCTTCTCGGACGATAGAGACATGATTAACGACAAAACTAATGTTCGCGGGATTTCTATGGATTGCGGGATGTTCGTTAAAACAATAAAAGTAACGCGCGGCCAACGCTCGGCGCGCGCGCTGCGTGTTCGCGGCGCAGCGCACCAATGTATACGTACCATAATATAACTTTTGCATAAAATCATCTGGGTAGATAATATTTCACCTTTACAAAATTTGCATAAGATTTCCTAAATCCCGTGTTCCAATGCACCACACTGTATTATAGACAGAATAAAATGTGTTTATATTGTAATTAATCACCTTTCATAGACCTGCTCGACAATGGCACATCATTTTCAGCGTTATCGTATTCCCCGTCAAATTTAAATTTGTCGTCCTCCTTCTCCCTGATGATGGGACTTTCGTCTGATGGGACGAAATCGTTATCAAACATAAACTTAGCTCTAGCCGTTCTCTTCCTTGGAAAAGTGTTGACCGCTGGTTCGCTGCTAAGACTGTTACTTTCTTTAACCTTCTTCCGCAAAGAAGACTTCTTGTCACCAAGGTCTGTCTCTTTTTTCGATACTATCTCCATATACTCGGTCTCGGGAGGCTTGTGAGGCTTGGCACGGTGCTGGACGCGACTGCTTGACGTTTCCGACACGTGTCTATGAGAGGGTTCGTTAAAATGCGAGTCTCTGCTCCTCGATCTACGAGCCGATTTGTAACGCCTGTCTCTTTCTCCATCACTCCCACCTAAAACAGAATATAAAAAAAACAAATGCGCTAATTTAATATCAGGACTGAATCACAGATTATTACAGATTTATCAATAAGACGGAGAAACTAAATAAGACAAGGATGCATTGGATCCCTTTAAATATCCTTAAAGGGACCGATTGCAAAGCGCATGCGAATGATCAATCGCTCCAACACAACAGCTGTGCAATCGGGCGACCGGACCGGCGCGGCGGCGGCGATGCGACGAATATCCTTTTTTTTTCGGAGTTCAAATCGAAAAAAAAACAAGAAATGTGAAAAGAAATATTATTAGAAAATATTTTTTAATTATACTTTTTTTAGCGGCATAGCTTCGCTTTTGTTGGCTCTTGTCGATATTAGTCTTATATTTTTTTCTTTATCTGTAGCTAACCTATGTAGATATTGAATTGTTATTTTTTAAACTGTCGTTTTAAACTGAATACTTTCCCCAAATGTTGGGGCAGTGGAGTAAAATTTTTTGGAGTAAGGACGAAAGAATGTTAGTACCTACTTGACTACCCTTTTATGATTGGTAGACCTTGATTTTCTACAAATTTTCTGCCTGCTGACTACTATGGAAGGCAAAAAAACATGTGAAAAGTTGGAAACGTGTTTTTATTTGTAGTTTGCTAAGTAGTATGATGACATAACTTCCATTTATTTTGCCCCTGTATCAGAAATTGTTACTACAACCTGATTTATAAAAAAACTTATTTCCTGTATTTCTTTCATAAAACTTACCAATTTAAATTGAAAAATCAAAATGTAAATCACATTGCGGTCCTGTCGACTTTACGGACAGTGGATTTTCAAGAAACAAAATTCTAATATACTCAACATTTTGTAATAAAACTTAATATACTTAACTATTATTAAAGCATAAAAACTATGGCTTTTAATAATAAAAAGACTATTATCTGATCAGCTGGTTGTTTTTTTAGTATTCATAAAAAATATTCATTGATCAAGCATTAAGATATTACTTTTATGATTTTTAAACTACCTGTTTTATCTCTTGATATTTACGCTTTTGCCAAGTGAAAATAAAAAGAAATATTGCCCGACGAATTGGTACTCCCGTGTAAGAACTTAAAATATGACAAATATCTCAAAAAAATGCATTCCCTATTTTAACTGGGAATACATTTTTTAGAAAAGGCAACAATGCATTCGAGAAAAAAAAATGAAGTCTGACAACGCTATAATCCCTTGTTAAAGGTCCGACTGGTTCGAGGTCACGGCGGCATTTATCAGTAAGATGAAATAAGTAAAACATCTGAAAATACTTCTTCTAAAGTTAAAATGACACGATTTATATTTACCTGTCCCCAAAAGATGTCGAGATTTTATCTCACCAGTATTTCTATCCATCTCCGAGGCACTGCTTGGACGCTGTTTCCAATTTTTCTTAGTAGTCGGCAAGAAGTGGGGCGAGTGGGATTCTTCTACTTCATTCGAATATTCATCCTCCCAAGGCGAGTCTTGCGATTCGCGACTACTCCTATACTTTTCGCCGTATCTTTCTCTCCTATCTGGCATATTACTTCGCCTAGCACCATATCTTCCAGATTTTTCTATCAAAAATGGTACTCAGTATAAAGCTTGATTTTCATGCGTCCGTTATCCGTTGATACGATGGTCCGACGGCGCTGATTGGTCATAGCGTTTTAGCGCCACTTTTCATCAGTAATTTTTTTACTCCTGCTCGTCAACGGAAACATCGTACGATAACGGACGTTTTGACACTTTTTTGACAAATTTAATCTTACCTTAATATATAATAGTACAAGAGCCAGCAACGCCGGGAAAACGAAAATTTTAAGAAAGCTGGTTCTTTAATATATATTTTTCTATGCTTTCCTGTGCTCTCTGACCAAAGTGCGGGCCGTCTGGCTATCGGTAGACAACTGCGGTTCGCTACTGCGCATCATATCTGTACAATGTATCCCATTTTCGTGTGTTTTATGGGATTTCTCGTTTATGAGTAGAAATACAATGATGCGATTTTCACATTACTTTGCTACTTTTTTATGAAACTAAATATGCTACACTTAGGTTTGTTCTAGCCTCCTTAGTTCCTGAAATACAGGGCGCATTTGTGATGCGCAGTAGTGAACAGATGATGGATACAGATATGATGCGCAGTAGTGAACGCAACATCTACCGGCAGCCAACGGTCCTCTGTTCAGGACAGCATAACAAAAGATATAGTAAAAAAACAGCTTTCTTAAGCTTGATTTTCATGCTTCCGTTGTCCGACGATATGTTGATACGATATTAATTTTATTGGTAGAATTTAAAGACTTTGATTGGTTAGAAAATAACGCAGTTTTTAAATTTATTGCATTTTCATGCCTCCGTTCATCGGATATACGTTGGTGTTATTTTATATTTTCGTTTCCATAACGATTTTGCTATTTTACTTATATTTTTATTAAAGTTAGATTAAATTTGTCAAAAAAGTGTCAAAACGTCCGTTATGGTATGAACGGGTCCGTTGACGGGCTGAAGTAAAATATTTACGGATGATAAGTGGCGCGAAAATGCTATGACCAATCAGAGCACCGTCGGACCATCGTATCAACGTATAACGGATGCATGAAAATCAAGCTTTAAAAGTCTCTCTCGAAAACGTTGCTAGCTCTTAGACTATAAGTAAAACAGCGAAATCTCGTTATGAAAATGAAAATATAAAATGACACTAATCACAAACAAATCAAATATCCGATGAACGGAAGATTGAAAATGCAATAAATTTAAAAACTGCATAATTTTCTAACAAACCGAAGTCTTTAAATTCAGCCAATAAAATTAATATCGTATCATCGTATCGTCGGATAACGGATACATGAAAATCAAGCTTAAATAGTCTAGCGCGAGACAGGAGAAGAAATGACAGAGAACTGTCACTAATGTGTCAATAAATAAATCATACATAAATGACAAATATTTCATCGCTATGTACACATTGTTCAACCATCGTTCAACTTCACGTCATATTATTGTCGAACTATCTCTTTCACTTGACAACCAGATGATACAGATTGGTGACGTCATTACGGCATTTTGAAAATTACTGCACATTGTTTTTAGTAATTGTCACTGGCATTTGATTTGGGGTTATAATTTTATTGATGGACATTGATCACTGCTAAATCTGCTTTTAGTAATAGTCATTGTTATTTGACTTGGAGTTATAACTTAATTGAAGGAAAACGATCAATGTCAAAGTCAAAATTATATTATTATTGGGCTGTCAAACATTTTTTAATTCTGGCTTATTTTGATATTTTTAATTTGAAATTATTTTTTATTGCTAAAATGCGTTACCGATTTAGCGAGAATAAACAAGTTCTCATCGCAAAGTTTATTAGTTATTCTACGCGAGAAAAGATACATTTGCCAGTCGATACCGTATATGAAGTAATTACAATGCAAACATGTATATAGTATTAACTAGTCTATAACATATAAATAAGCATTTCTTATACAGTTTAAGACGTGCGAGTATATTTAATTATTTTTGGCATCTTGAACTTCTAGAGTATCAAAGTGTATTTTATTGTATAAGTTTATTTTTAAAATAGGAACGATTTACCTGGAAAAAACTGGTATATACACCTAAAATTTTAAATTGAAAGACAATCAAAATGAATAAAGGCCCTACAAAACATACCTACATGAACCTAATAAAAGCGGAACTCACTCAATTATTAACTTGAGAACGTTTTTAAAATTTTCTAAATAAAATGAATTGTTCTCAGACATTCCCTAAAAAACGCATATTTGACAAATAATGATGACGTACCTTGATCGATGGCTGAACAGATAGTAACTTATTTATTTTGACCACACTAACTTATTTATTTTGATTTTAATGTAGACAGCACTCTGGCGAAGAATCCATGATTTTGAACAAGAAAGATAATATGGTGTATCGTAAATATCTTAGTACAAGTATTTTAAAGGGTGGTACAAAAGAAGAAACATTTTTATTTAACATTATTTATAAAATAAACTGAAAATAGCCAAGTTGCTTAACTTAAAAAAAAATGATTACACAATGTGCGCACCAAAATATACGCATGTTTGAAGTGAAACTTCTTACTAACAGCTATTAAATTGAAGGTTTTGAAGGACATGTTTGAACAAGTGTAGAATGAAATGTTGAAAAAGCAATGAATTAAAAGAATATTTTTTTTCGCGCAAAAAATTGTTTTTAGGTGTAACAAACAGTTTTTACACGCTAAAATAACCTTTTTGCGTGTAACAAATAGTCTTTTACGTGTAACGAATAGTTTTTTTACGCGTACAAATATATTTTTATGTGTAACAAATAGTTTTATACGCGTAAAATAAAGCATATCGCGTCACTACGTATTTTTAGGCCGTATGTTGTGTTTTACTCCCAGCGCGCGTCCTTACCACTTTGCCAAATCGTTACCACTAGCTCGTGTGTCATGGCCTTGAATTTTTACTCCCAGCGCGCGTAAAGAAGTTTCACTTCAAAAATAGTTATCGAAATATGTTAAAATTCTGAATGAGACAAACAGTGTTTCTTATAGTATACTATAAATTGACGTGGATGAGTAGATTTATATCCCCGATATTTCATTGCAAATTTTATAAATTTTATACGAGAAACTTCCTATAGAGGGTGGTCCGAACTGTATTCCGGAACCTTCGGCAACATGTTCTTTAGATAAAAATAAGTAAAAAAGTTCATATAAATGTATGTCCTAAAATGCTTACTTTCAGAGATACAGGGTGCAGAAGTTTCATTTTTGTTTCAATTTTTTCTAAATAATTTCTGAAGTAACGTCAATATTTGGATGAAAATTGGTGTCTGGGAGTTTTTTGACATGAGAAATTTGATTTTGGTGTCAATATGACTCCTACTAGAGGGCGCCACCTACATGTGTTTTAACTGTTTTGAAGCGTAATAACTTTTTGTCCGTACCTGTATAAAACTACCGAGCGAAAAAATATACATCTCTGTGACTTTTTACGTAAAAAATATATCTTTGTAAAAATCGCTATGACCAACCGTTCTTAAGATATTTAGAATGGAAATAGACAATACATGTCATTATTGACGAAAAACAAACACATTGAGTAGATAGTTATTTCACTGAAATAATAAATTTAGTAAATTTTTATTTTTTTTAAATTAATCATATTTTTTTCTGCAAAAAATTACGATAAAACAGTTTTTGTTGAACTTTTGGCACAAAAACATCTCAAATTTATGATTTCAGTCTAATAATAATTTTTTTTACTCAGTAGTTTTAGACAGGTACGGACGAAAAGTTATTACTCTTCAAGCCAGTTAAAAAATATGTAGGTGGCGCCCTTTACTAGTAGGAGTCATATTGACATCAAAATCAAATTTCTCATGTCAAAAAACTCCCAGATACCAGTTTTCATCCAAATATTGACGTTACTTCAGAAATTATTTAGAAAAAATCGAAATAAAAATGAAACTTCTACACCCTGTATCTCCGAAACTAAGCATTTTAGAACATACATTTATACGAACTCTTTTAATTATTTTTATCTGCAGAATATGCTGCTGAAGTTTCCGGAATACAGTTCGGACCACCCTGTATATGAGGAAAAAAATTAATATTCAATATTTTTTTTTAAATCTTATGGTCATGTTTCTGGATCGAAATATACTCCAGTTAAAATACTTGCAGTTATTTAAGACACATATGGGGGAGGAGCAACCCGTGGTATAGATGATCTGTAAGTACTAACTTATTTACCTTGGTTCCAATCTGGACAGCACCATCTATCCTTAGGTTCTTTAGGTTCCCTACTGCTCTCCCTTCTCCTTCTATACCTCCTCTCGCTGTAGTCGTCCCACCTGTCATTTTCCATATCCCTACTACCTCCACTACTATGTCTATCTCTATCAGTCTCTTTGGATCCGTGCCTTTGAAAATAGTGTCCCCTTGACCTATGTTCTTCGTCATACCTAAAAATATATCATACATATCAAAATGATGATTATATATTTATATCAACATATATTGATATACATAAAAACATTATGCTGCAAACAAAAGTATTGTGTGCATATTCAGAGTATCGCATCATATAAGATAAATAATATAAATAGACAGACGTTACTACACAAAATACGAAGATGTACCGAATATAACGAAGGAAGAAAGGATTTTATATAAGCCGCATCAGCTGCTGGGCCATTTAGAGAAAGATTTAGCGGCATAATATATATAACGGGAAGCTTAACTCAGTAGCCTGCAGTAGCGCCCATATATTGGGTCTAGATCATATACAAACTATATGCAGTGGCGGCTCGTGACCCGTGTGACTGGGTAGGCGACAAAATTTTAGTTGCGCCTATTTGCCCCCCCCCCCAAATATACATAATACCCTAGCCCAGTTTGTAAATATATATTATCTCTGGGTTAAAAACATAGCTCAAAAATATTTAGGACAAAGCTAAAGCAAAATTAACAGCTTTCAAAGTAATGACTTAATGATTGACATAATGTACAAGTATAGCTTTTATTAATCCATTTTATCTATTACCTATTTTTTTATCTATTACTATAGAGTCACTATGGAGTACATCATAGAATTTCATTTTAAATTTATTTATTCACGCAAACTTAAAAATTGGTAGTATTGAGAGAAAGAATAATTATGTTTTATATATTAAATTGATGAGTCGGTCTCTTAATAAAGAAAAGTTATTTATTATTATATCAGTAAAATCATCAGATTGTTGAAGAGCTGTGAAAAGATCTTTTTAGATTGAAAGTAAGGCAAGTGGCGATAAACGTTTATTTTTCATGGAATCTCTATTATAAATTTTAATGAATTTCAAACATGAAAAATGTGTCTCAACCCAAGTACTTGTGAATGGTGTAGTAACAAACAAAACAAACAATTTGAAAGCCTCTGGAAATATATTTCCAGGATTATTCTCCTTAAATTATTTTATAATCGAAATCATCATATCTATTATTAATACCTGCAACTTATTCATTAATTTATGTTGGTCAATAACATTTTTTGTTTGTTAAACTATATGCAGTGGCGGCTCGTGACCCGTGTGACTGGGTAGGCGACAAAATTTTAGTTGCGTCTATTTGCCCCCCCCAAATATACATAGTACCCTAGCCCAGTTTGTAAATTCATTAATTTATGTTGGTCAATAACATTTTTTGTTTGTTAAATCACTATTAAATGCGTTGGAAGGAAGTTGGAAATGTATCAATATAACGAGTTTGTTAAATCAGATGTTAAATGCGTTTGAAATTTTTTATAGGATTCTTTAAATTTCGGATCCGCAAGAGATAAATAAAAATAATTGAGACATACGAGTACCTATCTGCAAACCTTATTTCTAAATGTATAACAATGTTATCTAATATTTCATAAAATAAAATTCGCAAAGATATTTGACTTAGCCGCTTTTATTAACACATCGAATTGAAATAGCACAGAGACTTTTCTGTAATATCTGTTGTATCGTTTTCTTGCACCGAATAAAATAATGCACTCTTTTATTTCGGATTCTTTTATTTCGGTGGCGTGTTCTGAAATACAACCGGTTATATCATTTTTAATAATCTCGGACAAGCTCGAAAAATGTTTCCAATTTGCTTTAAACGTTTTTTTTTTCATATAATATAATTTTCATATAATTTTATATAAATATATATAATATAATTTTCATATAAAAATTTTAAATGCTACCTATAATCAATCATATGTAATATCCCCGTAACGAAATGTGATATATCTCCTTATGAAATATCCGGAATATCCGCTTAACTTCCTAGCGAGCCTCCGAGCCTCCACGACTTCATGCGAAGGTGACCAGAGATTTCGCCTAAACCCCGCCTTAATACGATACAACTCCGACTTACGTCGCGTCGCTACCGCACGATTAGTTAGACAGAGACAGAAGACTGCCGTACGTCGGGCATCGACTCTGATAGCAAAAATGTAGAAATCGCCGAACAAAGGCACTCCAACGGTCAAAATTATTTTGTTTTCTAACGCAGCGGCGCAGTCAGCATACGCCAGCGGTAGTGAATAATGTTAATATACAAGACCACAAATATTAAAATAATATTGATTATTAAAAAACACTTCCGTGTATTAACAGTATTTTTATGTATTGGCAACATTAATAGTAAATAATGTAATGTAATAAATCGCTTAAATTCTGCCAAATTGCCTACCCTGACGAGCCGTCACTGACTATATGAAGGGCACACGAAAAAAACGATGAAAGTCCATTTTTTGCTAATTTGATTTTAATGCCTAATATTTTTCCGATGGCCTAATATCATAGCGCTTACTAGCTCAGCGTATACTAGTTTTTTATTATAAATCGTTTACTTAACGTCAAAAAAAATCCAATTTACATCATCAAACAGCAGATAATAGGCAATTCAAAATAAGATCGCAGCGCCATAGCGGCGACAACTCGTACTAATCTATGAGCCATTCCGCCATTTATTTAATTGTGTTCATGTGGTTTGCGTTGTGTGCTTGGTGTCTGTTTCCGAGTTTTTTTAGTTGGTTTTGGACAGTTTTGTGATTTGTGAACATTTTTTATTTGTTAAAAGACTTCGGTTTTCATCATGCGATTAAGCATTTTGGAATATATGCGGTATTTGGACGGATCCACACATTCCAAATGTGTGGTTGAAGGGGAAAATGTCCTTAATGCAGGGCATTTAAAATATTATGCACAAGTTCAAATGGGAATGGCTGTTTTAAATTTAAATAAATGTGTCTTTATAGTATATGCATCCTATGACAGTAGTTTGCTAATTATAAATGTCAAATACGATTTTGATTTTGTAATGAATATGTTAACAAAAATAAAAAATAATTATTTTAATAATATGTTACATGTAATTTGTGAAAATAAAAGTAGGTTACATGCACAGAGTAGTAACTAGTTAATTAAATAAAAGATGTGTGTCTATATAATGGTAGTATTTATTTTTATGTAAATAGGTATAAAGTAAAAATATATTGTATGACTAAAAATAACATGCAAAAAAAAATGTATATGTATATTATTTAAAAAAAAATAAGTACTAAAACAGGTCAAAATATCACTGCCCAATAAATCCTTAATAATAATATCATAAGTTGTTATAAGTTCACATAATGTCAACATTTTTTGGATATTCACTTGCACTTCTGCATCCCTAAACTTTGGTTCCGTAGGTGATGAAGGATGTTTTAGAGTTGTTAACATATTTTCTGCAGCAACAGTATCTTCCTCGTCTTCTACATCTTGTTCACATTCCATACCGACTTCGAGTTCAGATTGGTTTTATCTTTCTCTTCTACCAGCTGTACGGATATCCCTGGATGATGGACCTGCCTCTGAGTCAAGCACAAGTGGCAGATTTTTTGTGAGGACAGCGGTTTTCTTTAAAATTCTGCGATTTTTTCTATCTAAAATAAAAATATCACTTAGCCTTAGAATATCCTATAACCTAACAAAACTCACCTTTATGAAAATAATCTTGGTCTGACAAATGTAATGAGCACACTCGCATATGATCTGAAACTTTCTTTCGAATTTTCAATGCCTTAATCCAAATTTTTCTTCAATCCACCAGCTTCTTTATTTCCAAGTTTGGTTTCCACAATACTTTCGACAATCCTTCCTTTGGAAACGAATCTCGGGGTTTTTCTTTGCCCAAGAATTATACTTTGGCACACAGCAATAATGATTCATATTTATTTAATTTCAAACGAAAAGCACAACATAAAACACAAAGAATAAACGGGAAATAAGAGTCGTCAGCTTCGATTTCCAAACCTAAACAATGCAAATCAATAAAAGGAATGGCCCCTACGATAGTTCGAAAATCCGGGCATAGAGGGCGTATCGCTTAGCATGAATAGCGTATAGAGCATTGTCTTAGGTAAACGTATTAAATTTCGCTTTTAATAATAAGTAATCTTACTCATAATCTTCATCGTCATCATCCCAACTATCCACTTGCTTCGCCTCACGATGCCTGTCGAAAGAGTGGCCTCTCGGGTGCTTTCCCCACCCCACTCGACCTTCAGGCCGTCTTCTAGGTTCCTCCTCCCAGGGGCTGACGTCACGAGAACTGGACGAATGACCGCCCGGTTGTTGGTTCCCGTGTTGCCAATTGCCACTGCCTTGTCTACGCCTGCGTGGTCGATCGTAACACTCGTAATATTCGTCCTCGTATGAATCGGTCGATCGTCTATGAGCTGGGTAATATGAACCTAGATATTTAAATACAGGGTCGGTGATGTGTATGGGAACGGTCGATTATTACGTAAAATATACAAGGTGCCGCAAAAAGTTAAATACAAAACTTATATGGTTTTTAAATGTCTAGTAGCAAGTAGTAAATTTAAGTATACAGGGTCGGTCATAAAGTTGTGGCACATCAAAATTTATTTATTTAAATGCAACCCCCTGTATATTATTGCCTATTTTAATTATTGCTTCAATTTTAAGCACTAATCGTAATGCACATAATGACATAATGTACCTAAATGCAACCATTTCCGAATTATGAAGTTTTGATTAAGAAATGTTAAACGAAAATTTTGTAATTTCCAGACTTGATATAATCTCACTTTATACATCTATAAATGATAACTTGAAAACTAATGTCAAATATTATTAAGATCACAGTTTCCGCAGAATGGCATCGTTAAATGAAACTGAACACATCGGAATTAATTAAATTGAATTGTTCAAGTGGTATTTTCAAAAGTCAATAACTCAGAAACGATTGGTTTGAGGTACATTGTGTGTATTTCAATTTTTACTTAGAATTGAAGGAAGAATTGAAATAGGCAATAATATACAGGGGGTTCCATTTAAAAAAAATTAAACTTTGATGTGCTACGACTTTATGACCGACCCTGTATACTTAAATTGACTACTAGCTACTAGACATTTAAAAACCCTATAACTTTTATATTAAACTTTTTGCGGTACCTCGTTTTCTAATAATAGACCGTTCCCATACATATCAGCGACCCTGTATATTGGGATTCGTAATCAGTAAATTGATAAAATAAATAAAATATACCTTCTGGATCAGCTGAAGTATCCCACCAGTTTTCTACGTCTCGATTTTTTTTCCATCTTTTACCGCCTTTGGGTTCTTTTTTCCAATTAGTGGGTGACTTGTTACCGAATTCTTTGGAATCACTAGACCATGGCGAAATACCCTCTTCACTTTGGGCAGCACCCAAGTTTTCTTTACTCTCCAACCGACTGCTACTCTGATCGAATATCGCCCACGATTCACCTAAATTACCCAGAAAGAAAATGTATTTCCTATCATTGCAAATTATGAAATTTATTCCAGTTTGATTTTATAATTTATGTGGATAAATCAGCGTTGTTATAAATTGCGAGTTTAATTTGTGACGTTTCAATTAATAAAAATTTTTGAAACTGTTTAAGTAACCACTTATAAAAACAATAGTCACAAAGAGACAAATCTAAAGGATGTATACCGGGTGCGTCTCAAAAGTGGCTCACCCATAGACTTAAAATAAAATATAGACTGAGCATCTCATTCATAAATAGCTGGAAACTGCGGTCAGACAATGTCTTGTTATTGTTATGTTATTGTTTTAGGCTCTAACGAGTGCGACACGAGCGATAGACAGGTTGTCTCCGTCGTAACGGTCATGCCCTGACGACTCCGACGAGAAACGCAACACTGTCTCTCGTTCCTCAGTACACCTGAACTCTCCGTACCATAGCCGGGTATTTTTTTTTTATTTTAATGAAGCTATAATTCAATTAAAAATATATCGTATTTAAACTTTTTATATTTTATTAAGATTTAGGAGAGGTTTTTTAAATAAAAGTTTAGAAAAAAACGTCTTAGAGTCCAAAAACGATAAAAATAATAAAATACATGTCACAGAAAAAATAATAATCGAAATTACGTATTTAATTTTAGAAATTAATAATAAATTATTAATTTTAGTCAAACATTTACAACCCTAATATTAATCAAAACAGGATCTATTCTATAGATATAATAGAATCGGCGACATGGAAAGAGAAAAAACTTTATGATTGTTGATTTTTTTTTCTGGTAAGTGATGTCTTATTATGTAAATTAGAGAAAACAGAAATCTGTTCCATTAAAGCAAGCTTTTAGGAAGTGGATAAAATGAAAACTACATTTATTTAACTCGGTACTGTTTTTATTATACCGGGTGCGTCCCAAAAGTGCCTTACCCCCATAATTTTTTTATTTTTTCAAATTAAAAAACAAGATTTGGTATGTTATTATATGACATAAATTAGGATTGATTGAAGCATTCAATTGTTTTTGGTCACTTCCTGTTTCACCGGAAATGACTATAATTTTTGATTTTTAAATGGGACCCTAGGTATATCTCTACTTTATTCGATAGAAAATGACACTCTCAATAGAATGACATATCATATGTCAACTTTTGACATTTTCGCATATGGTTTAATTGAAATTGTAACACGCGGTTCATAACGACAATTTGACTCGAAATACCAAGTATCAATATATTCATAAAAAATGCTTTTTCCAAATATGTTAACGAGTCACCCTTGTTCCATTTGAAAAAATTGACATATGATTAAAAATATGATTTGTGCATCTTGTAACCGGCCTAGACAAGACACGAAAAACATTAGACGATCAAAACTATTTTTCCAAGGCTCCTTGGTTAAAACTTAGTGTTTTTAACACCGCCATGGCACCCGGATTGAAATTTAAAATACGATTTGTTTTTAAGCGACAATGTCAAAAGTTGACATATGATATGTCATTCTATGTGTCATTCAAAAATCAAAATTTGTAGTCATTTCCAGCGAAACAGGAAGATACCAAAAACAATTGAATACGTCAATCCATCCTAATTTATGTCATATACTAACATTCAAATCTGTTTTTTTTTATCTGAAAAAATAAAAAGCCATAGGGGTGAGCCACTTAAAAAATATTGTTTCATAATGTAATATCATTTTAAAATTCTTGTATATTATTTTAGATTCTGAAGATAGTTTTAGAATAAACCGGAATATATTTTTAATAAAAACATTATTAATTTTTTAACCGATGCCTAATATAATTTATCTATTATGTATAATAACAGGGTTATAATAATGATTTTGTTACAAACACCTTTATATAAATGATTATGTAATAGAAAAAAATCAGATTTTACATTTTACTAAAATATTATCTAAATAAGCGCCTTTCTACAACAACGCCACTGACTCCCAATTGGTAAATTGAGAGTTGCCTACCGGTCGAAAGTCCTTTCGAGACTTAAATGGATTATTTAAGTCAAATTTCTTGCAAATTTGGCACTGGCGAACCATATTTTATAGTTCTTGAATACAAAAAGTATATAAAATAAACATTTAAGGATTACAAACTAAGAAAATGCGATAATACAGCCAGGGAGAAGTAGCGGCAACAATGCTTTACTACACACGTGCGACGCGTACTACAAGATAATAGAAGAATGAATAGCCGACCACTGCCGTTCTTTAAAAGATCAGCCAGGGGGCGAACTTTTGTTTACTTTATCAGCTGTACATACTTAGATATTGGGTTAGATTCTGTATTCATATTTTGTCGGTTGATTTTTGGTATTATTTGTTATTGTAGTGCAAAAAACTAATTATTTTGATGCTTAAGTGACATAAACTACTACCAGATATATGGTCACTCTGGTTCTCATAAAAGAACACGAAATATTACACGTTTTGTTAAGTGCTTTAACCTAAAAGTGCCCATAAGTTTTTTATTTATCATGATTTTGGTGTGTGTTTTTTAAGACTCTAACAACTCATCAATAAAGCTTAAGTGGAGTGTGTTTTTGGCCTCATCTTTGTTGTGTTCCTGGTATAGTTATACTAGGCAGCCTAAAGTGTCCGGAAGAGCAAGAAAAGTGGGTACGAGTTATAAATCAAGACAATTCTATTGAAAATATCGTTAATAAATTTAAAAATAATATTCTCCCAGGATTATATTAAAAAAAACTGGACAATTATGTTTATTTTATTCATATTGTGGAATCTCCACTCCAAGTGTTGTTGATTCGATAGATTCAAACACGTAAGATAAACACGTAAGTATATAGGTATTATGAGCTAGGGAAAAATAAAGAATATGCGTATTAAAGATCATGAACAAGATTATTAATTTGAGTTCAAAATTAAAAAAGATTTTTATAAAGACAAGAATGATAAAGTTTTAAAGAAGAATGTATTTTTGTTTGATAATATAATGTATGTAAGGCATAACATATTTTTGTTCAGTAATTTTTAATTAATAGTGTTGTATAATCAATAAATTGGTATATTTGCAATACAAAATTAAGTTTTAATGATAACGATGATACTAAAAATAATTAGAAATTCGTATTTCTTTGTTTTAATTGGTCTAATGTTATTTACAATTTATGTAAGAATTATACCGTATCATCGAAAAAAAAACGGCGTCTAGTTGGCTTGGAAATGAACATCGATAACATTCCCTAAATAATGTGCGCGTTCAGGGAACACAGCGGCTGACCGACCGCTGAGTATTTTGCTCAGCGGCTGACTGTTTTTGCGTGTAAAAAGCCTTCTATATCTCTGGTAAAAAGGGACCGTTTAGGGAAACCGCTTGCTCAGCTACTCAGCCGCTGACCGTCCCTGAACGCGCCCATTGTTACACATAAAATAGTTAACTAGAATTTTACATTTTTGGAAAATTTCATATTCTTGAACCTTGTTTTTAAATATTCTAAAATTTTTGATTTTCTTGGGATTTAAGTTCGTGAAATACGCTGATTAAGTTTTCATTTTGTTTTTCATTATTTTTATGTTGTTAAAAAAAACGTTTCGGCTAACATTCATCAGTGTTGGGTATGAAAAAAATAGTGTCGAATATAATCCAAAAAATTACATATAAAATATTCACGCCACACACCACATAATGTTACTGTAATTAATAAACTAATATAAACTTGTCAAAAGATGACCACATATTTTTTAAAATTATTGTTCTTAACAAAACTATCAACATTAACTATAGCTGAAATCGTACTCCATAGTCAATGTAGATAGTTTTAGTGTTAAATAAAATGTAGATAGTGTTTGGATTATATTCGACACTATTTTTTTGGTATGACCCAACTCTGATGAAGGCTATAATGTTAGCCGAAACGTTTTTTTTTAAACCAAATAAAAATAATGAAAAACCAAATGAAAACTTAATCAGCGTTTTTCCCGAACCAAAATCCCAAGAAAATCAAAAATTTTAGAATAATTTTACATATAAAATGACAGCGATCTTCATTTCATAGCCATCGCTGACACCTTTTTTTCTATAATACTGTATTATTTGCAATATAATAGATATTGAATGTTTTTTGTTAAATTAGATCGATTTTCAAACCTCAAAATTTAAAATATATTTTACATTTTACCCATTATCTTATGTACCTATTCATTATTTGTATATTGTAAAACATTTGCTGCATTTGTATGGTTCATAGTTTATTTGCCAAAGTATTTATTACTATAAATAAGTATATATATTGTATTTATTAACTGTATATTATGTATATTTCATGTAAACTATATCATTTTTAAAACTCAAACCAAAAGTATGAGGAATAATTATGTTTTCCATTATTCTACAACATATTTATTAATCCGTAGTATTTAACTAGCGTGACGTCATAAATCTCGCCCCAAGGTTGATCTTTTAAAGAACGGCACTGAGCCGACCTCGCCTCTAATCGTTGTTGCCATATTGTAAAGGATTTATCCTTTTTACATAGTATTCGACTTATAATTAAGTAGTATAAGGCCTATTTAATACATCTATGGAATATTAAAACCTATTTTATTTATTTATTAATATCTCAATACATGTGTATAATGAGTAATAAGTAAAAAAATATTGATAATATTAAAGACATAGGCTGGACGAGGAAGGTTTGGTCGGTTGCGGTCGAGTGTACCCAGAAGTAAACATGTGTACAAAAATGATTGTTTGACCGCGTTTAGATGTAAATAGTGTAGTCTATATTTTATTTTAAGTCTATGGGCTCACCCATACAACTTTTTTATTTTTCAGATAAAAAAACGAGATTTGGTATGTTGGTATACCTAAGTGATACATTTTTCAATTACGTATTCAATTGTTTTTGGTCGTTTCCTGTTTCACCGGATATGACTACAACTTTTGATTTTTAAATGACACCCTGAGTATTTTTTACTTTATTCGATAGAAAATAAAACTCTGAATAAAATGACATGTCATATGTCAAGTTTTGACATTTTCGCATATGGTTTATTTGAAATTGTAACATGTGGTTCATAACGACAATTTAACTCGAAATATCAAGTGTTTGGTACCAAATTATTCGTAAAATACTGCTTTTTCCAAATAAGCTAATGAGCCACCCTTGTTCCGTTTGAAAAAATTGAGATATGAATAAAAATACGATTTGCGCATCTTTTAACCGACCAGGACAAGACACGAAAAACAATAGACGATCAAATCTATTTTTCCAAGGCTCCTTGATTCAAAATTAGTGTTTTAACACAACCAAGACACTCGATTATTTTTTAAGCGAAAATGTCAAAAGTTGGTACATGATATGCCATTCTATTCAGAGTGTCATTTTCTATCCAATAAAGTAAAAATATACCGACGCACTGTGGTTCCACAAATGGACAAAATTCGTCAAAATCAATAACATAATTTTTTTGTAAAACCATTATATTTAAATAACCAATAATTCAAATTCATAATAATAAAATATTGAGGACTCTAAAACTATGTATTCATTAAAAAAAATAACCCTAAACCGTGACCGTGTCAAATAACTCCGCTATAAAAAAGTTACAACCTAATCAAGTTGGCGCTTCGCAGACGTCACTTTACATTATTTGTTGACAGTTTGTTATTAAAGTGGTGTTGGTTGTACATTTTTAGCTACGAATGTCCAAAAACAAGGTAAGTTTATTAATTCTGAGTGTTAGAATTAGTTACTTTATTATTACTTTGACATTAGTAATACAAAATTATCGAAAAATTAGGCGTTTCAAATATGTTTCCCGCCTTTTCCCGAAATAATTTCCATAGTGTCAAGTAGATACATGCCTTGACCTATTATAGAACAAATATTAGTGTGCAGTTTTTGCTACTCCCTTTTAATTAAGATCTGAAGTAACTGAGGTATTGCAAAATATGGCTAAAAATTCCGTTCCTTTCAGGTACATCATATCGATGTTCATTGGATAGAATGGGTATTTTTGAGATATCGTTGACAAAGGCTGGGTCTGTTTCAACAAAATCAAAACAAATATTTGGTAATTTATTAGAACAGTTACCTGACGCTGAAAATTTGAATTGTGCTAATTTGGAAAAGAAAATGTTTTATTTGTGCAAAAAAATAGCAGAAAATTGGGCAAAAGCCAGGCGCAACAAAGATTTTTTTCTAAAAACAAATTCTAATTGGTTAATAAAGACCGATGATATCTTCGTTAACACACAGGTGTCCAAATTAACCCAAGTCAACAAACCATCTACCCGTACATGCGGAAGACCAGAGAAAACTTTTGATGAGTCTTGTCGACGGTCACAACAGAGAAAACTGTCGCAAATTTCTGTCATCGATAACTCCTTGATAACTATGTTACGAAGGCCTTCATCTAACGTTAATTACAAGAAAGTTGATGCCGATGAAGTCTTATCTCTTCCAGTTGAAGCTAAACTGACTAAACACCAGTATATATTGTTAAGAAATTTTATTAATTCTAAAATAAATAATATGTTTCCTTCGTATCAAAAAGTCCAAGAAAAAGTGCTACCCCAGTAAAGATTACATTAAAATTACCGAATCATCTGCTGAGATAGAGTTACAAAACTTACTCGATCATACAGCAAGCAGAATATGGTCATCACAACAAGAGGTGATAAACTCTACTTCAGACAATCAAGACCAAAATTTGGTTTTGTTTGGAAAATGGGGATTTGACGGTAGTAGTGGTCACTCAGAATACAAGCAATCTTTTCAAGATCCAACATTCCAAGACGGAAGTTTATTTGTGACTTCATATGTACCACTTCGTCTTGTTTTTGAAGATAACCCTGAAAAAATAGTGTGGAAAAACCCCCGAACCTCCTCTACACGTTATTGTAGACCGCTTAGATTCCAATTTAAAAAAGAAACTAAAGAAGCAGCTCTTAACGAAGAAAAATACTTTACAGAAAAAATTAATTCCCTGAAGCCCACAGTAGTTTCATTTAATGACAAGAACTATTCCATAAAGCACAAACACTAGGAAGATTTGTAGCAGTTTAACTGAATCGTCTTCAGCCAGATGTTATATATGTGGTTCAAGTCCCAAAGAAATGAAAGATATTGATTTGTGCCTTCAAAAACAAGTTCGCCCAGAAACATTTGAATTTGGCTTGTCCCCTTTACATTCATATATACGATTCTTTGAATATTTTTTACATCTTTCATATAGATTAAATTTAAAAAAATGGCAAATACGGTCTAAAGAAGAAAAGTAACATTTTTCTGAAAGGAAAGGCCAGATTCAATCTGAGTTTAGAAATAAATTGGGATTGATAGTGGATAAGCCAAAATGTGGAGGAAGCGGTACTTCCAATGGCGGAAATACCGCAAGAAAATTCTTTAAACAATTAGATGAACCTCTGAAATTACAGGTTTAAGCAAGAGTCTTCTAGAAAGATGTTCTGTAATTTTAAGGTGCATTTCATCAGGATTCAAAATTAATATTATAAAGTTTAAAGAATTTTCTTTAAGTATGGCTCGGTTACTGGTGGCTGAATATCCCTGGTATAATATTCCCCCTTCAGTCCACAAGGTACTTATACATGGTCCTGATGTAATAGAAAGCGCCATATTACCCATTGGAGAATTATCAGAAGAAGCTGCTGAGGCCAAAAATAAAGAGTCATACTCGAAAAAATCATACTCGAAAAATGTTTCGTACAAAGTGTAATATGGATCTTTTAAATAGACTCTTACTTAGTTCAGAGCCCTTAGTAACAGAATTAAGGAAATTGCCGCCAAAAAATAAAAATAGCTCTCCTAAGGCAGTACTAGATTTGTTAGATGAATAGTATATAAAATTTTGTTGTTTGTTGTTAAGTATTAATATTTCCTCTTTAAATTTGATAGTTGAATAACCATATTCATACTAAAATCCATGATGTAATTCGATTTCTCTTATTTTCGATTTTATTGTTGTCATTTTAGTATTTGTTAAAATTGTTATAAATAACCAAAGCATATAATTACAATATACCTAATATAAATAAAATGTATTTTAGTATAGTTTTTTTTATTAAACAGTAGAAAGGAACCAATATTAAAAAAATTATCAATTCTAAACTCTATTATCTAATTTCATTCTAACGGGGTAGTAGGACATCTGTTAATTAATTTTATAGTATTTTTTTACAAATTTGTGCATATAACTGAAATAATTGATTTTTGTCACCGCTTAACATATACATGGAACCACTGTGCGACGGTGCCATTCAAAAATCAAAAGTTGTGTTCATTTCCAGTGAAACAGGAAGTGACCAAAAACAATTGAATACGTCAATCAATCCCAATTTATGTCAAGTACTAACATAGCAAATCTCGTTTTTTTATCTGAAAAAATAAAATAATTATAGGGGTGAGACACTTTTGAGTAGTATTTTGAGTTGAGTATTTGTATAATCTGATAAATTTACCATAGTTTAATTTATTTGCTATTTTGTATTATAGTAAACTTAACAAGGTTAGCCCCGCCCTTTATGTAACATTGTAATATAAGCAGTATAACCGACGTTAGATGCGCTAGCGCTAAAGAATATTGGTTATAAATGTCGGTTAATCATGTTAAACGAAAAAAAATAGGATGGCATTTATCTATAATTTAAAAAATATCGGTAAACAAATTAAATTAACCAAGTTTCTTAAAGCAATTTGTGACCATCGACGGTACAATAAACGACGATAAAGTCAATATTATAAAATAATTACCTGTAGGGTCCAGGTTTTTCTTGGGAATATCCGAATTACTCCCGGTATTATCCACTTCCGGTGAACTACCACTCAAAACGTCAGAGAGTGAGCCGGAAGTAAGCCTGGTACTCGACTGAATTATTTCTGTTATAGCGTTGGGCACTGGGCTCTTCATCACAGGAGACCGCGTCGGTGACTTTTCAGGAGTAACTGTTTTTGATTTGGGTTCCTTACTTTCTAACATATACTCTATAATACAGTCTTTTGAAATAATATCCTTTTCCGGAACTTCGTGCAAATTATGCTCCTTGTTCGCTAAATTAATATCTTCAACACTTTTCTCTTGGTCTTCATTGAGCGTGTCTTTATTTAGTGTCCCCTCGCTTTCAACAATGTTCTGATTTACCTCGTCTTTATTCTGTTCAGTCTGTTTGATTTCTATTTCCACAATTTCCCTTAAAGCAGCATATTTATCCTCAACAGATAACTTATCGCTGGAAGGTTGAGAATCGTCCGAATTTTTCTGCTGAAGCTGTTCCTTCTCCTCCTGGATTTGTTCAGGTTCGGTATCGATTTTTGTCTGCTTAATCTCTTCCTGAAGCTCCCTGAAAACCGCGTATCTGTCGTAGGTTGAGTCCGCGTTCGACTGGGTCGTCGAAACGTTGCTTATGTTTTCGAAGTTCGCGGAAAAATCAGCCTGGAAAGTTGGAAAAACGTTCTCGCAATCATGCTTACGCTGACTAGACTGCGACTTGATAAAAGTGGACAAATAATTAGTTAATTGAACCAGTGTCATATTGCTTAGTTTATGAGGAGGAATATTCAGTTTACCCGCCAATTCGTTCAAACCGCTTAAGGTTAGCTGACTCAAGGTCATATCCAAACCTTCCAAAGAATTATTCAGACTGTCCTTACTAATAGATGTATTTTGTTTTGACTCTGAAGCAGGCTGTTCCTTCTTTGTGTGTCTTTGGGGAGGAGGGAGCAATACACTAAGACTATCTGGGTTTTCCGGAAAAGATATGGGAGTTAAATAATCCTCGTCGCTAGAATACTGATTGTGTTTCTTGGGACGTTCAGGAGGAGTAGTAAAATTCGACTCAAACATCGACTTCCTCTGTGGCACGGGAATAGGAGGATTCATATCAGAAACATTTTTAATCTCTGGCATACTTTTTTTCTCTTTCTCGAATTTTTCTATATAATCGTAACGATTCTCCTCGGTATGAGGGGGCCTAGGGGGAGGCTTTAAAACAATGTCGCCTTGTTTTTTCGGAGGTAACGGAGGAGGTTGTACTTCCCCTAAAGTCACGGCGTGTCTAGGAGGGGGTTCCGGAACGTTTTCCGATTCGGATGACACTTCTACACTTTGTTCTTGAGTCTTAGATAAACTATCGTCGAACTGAACATCGAAAGTGTTCGTTTTGATGAACTGCGCTGATTTAGGGCTGGTACCTAAAGTACCACTGCTTTCCAAGCCCACTGTTTTCGGAGACTTGGACAAATTGTTTTGGAACATCGAATGTAGATCTCTGGCGGCTCGTTGGGTGACGAATTCAGTCTCGAACGGATCTTGTTTCGAAAAATCGGTTTCAGCAAAGGGATCCTCCTTGACGAAAGGATCTTCTCCGAAAGGATCCGCGCTGAAAACGTTCGTTGTGTTCGAATAAATAGTTTGAGAAGGCGCGGATGTCGTTTTTGAGGAAGCAGTTTGGTTAAAATTGATATTAAAAAGATCTTGAGTCGCCGATGAAGTCGTCGAGGACACCAGTTCGTTTAGCGCCTTTTTCGGTGGATTTTTCAACTCTTGAAAGAAATGTTTCTTATCAATATATGGCTTACTTCTACCGGTACCTAGGGTAAAATAAAATATTTTTTTGCGACGGAAATCGTAAAAGTCTATCTACTGAGAAACCAAAAGCAAAACTGGAAAAGAAAAAAGAAAAAATAATTTTGGTATTTTTTTTTAAACAGGTTTTATTTTATTTTACCACAGATATTCTCCGTTCTCGTTGAGGTTTTAGTGTATTAGTAAAAAATATGTTAGTGCTAAATGATAAATGGATAAGAATTAAATTATTTTCACTTCTATCTATATAAACAAAGCTTCTATTAGGGCTAAAACAGATGAAGCAGTTTGGGGCGCAGCGGTTAAGCCCGCACGGTTCGTCGCCGCAACTGTTTAGCTTTGCTGCAGCTAGATGCAGGCGCTCGGCAGCTCACGTTGAAGAGACACCGCGCGGATAACCTGGCGATACTCCTAAGTAATGTGGCAAGTAATGGCAGATAGGAGGTATTGACAATTCACCTGCGCACCGTCTTATTTGCACAATAGAAGTGCCATTAATGAGCCGCCGAGCTGTCGCCGACTCAGCGCACATCGCTTCAAAACCGCCTCGTATATTTTAGCTCTTAATGTTTATTTACTGAAAGGCAGAAACACTGTCTCCGAAAACTGTAATATCAAAACATAGTACCACAAAACATGGTTAAGGTATGTTTTGTGTGCAAGGTTTACAGGATTATATACTAAAAATAATTACTTTAGTAAATTTTGACAAGCTGTTAAAAAATATATATAATGTTGCTTTTAAAAAATCGATAAACTAAACAATGATTATAAAAAAACTTTATATAAATGAAAAACATTGCTAAATTCAATATTACTATACTTCATAAAACATTACATACCTAATGGATCCAGTTCAGTAAAAACATCAAACTGTGACATAATTTCTTGTTTTTTTGCTTCATGATTTTCATCTGTAACTGTTTCTGTTGGCCTTAAAGAATTAGATTCCTCAAATTGGTTACTACCAAATGTAGGTGTAAACCAATGTCCACTGTTTTGTTCCTCATGAGAACTGTTAAAATCATGTGAAAATGAAAATTCTGTCTTGGTTTTTGCACTTAACAGTGAATCGGTGCCACTATCTATGCTAGCAGCTGTATTTGGTGGGGTTTTTGTGCTTAATACACTGCCAGAATCGGAAGTTCTGCTTGATCTTTCCCTGCTAGATGATGGAGGGGGCGGCAAGATTAGTTTCTAAAATATTAAAGATATAAAGTTTAAGAAAAAGTTAAATATTACTTTATTTACATTAATTGGATAACTTATAAAGCTATCGCCAAATGGATCATCTTTAGAACCAAACGGATCTGAAGGAGTAATTCTTTCCATTTGATTTAAACCCTGTTGCAAGCTGTTTAGTTCTAATTCTAGGTCAACTAAATCAGCCACTGCTGTTCCAGAATTTTTACTTCCCGATATACTACTACTAGCTTTATGTTCACTTTTTGACTTTTCTGTGGGCTGTGAAAAATTAAGCATTACTTCCATTTAAATATATACATGGCGGTGTAAATTGTATTCGGAAAACTTCGACAGTAGTATTAAAACTCAGTTTGAATCATCTACTGATGAAGCTAACATGGTTAGCGAAACGCGCGTCCAGTATAAAAGAAAAGTGTTTTAGTGTATTGGGGTGAATTAGTGTTTTACTTTACTGTTGCAACACAAAAGATTCCAACCCTCAACTTTAATAGTATATTCTATAGATAAAAATAAGTAAAAAATATTGTATAAATTTATGTCCTAAAATGCTTCATCTCGGAGATACAGGGTGTAGAAGTTTTATTTTTATTTCGATTTTTTCTAAATAATTTCTAAACTAACGCCGATATTTGGATGAAAATTGGTGTCTGGATGTTTTTTGACATGACACATTCCATTTTGATGTCAGTATGACTCCTCCTTGTAGGGGGAGCCACTTATATACTTTTAGCTGTTCTGAAGAGTAATAACTTTTCCTCCGTACCTAAATTAAGCTACTGTATGAAAAAATATACATTTCCGTTATTTTTATGTAGAAAAGGTCTCTTGGTAAAAATCGTTACGGGTAATGGTTCTCAAAATATTTGGAATCGAAAGAGTCAATTCATGTCATAATTGACAAAAATTATACATGTTGCCTGGATAGTTATTAGTCTGAAATAATAAATTTGAAATGTTTTGTGCCAAAGATTTAACAAAAACTGTTTTATAGTTGCCCTCTAGAAAATTCATGATTAGGTAGGTGGCGCCCCCTACAAGTAGGAGTCATATTGATATTGAAATCTAAGTTCTCATGTCAAAAAATACCCCGACACCAATTTTCATCCAAATATCGGCATTAGTTCAGAAATTATTTGGAAAACTCGAAATAAAAATGAAACTTCTATACCCTGTATTTTAGGACATAAATTTATAAGAACTTTTTTACCTATTTTTATCATGCAGCTGAAGTTTCCCAAATATAATTCGGACCACCCTGTATAAAGACATTATTACTATTATTTTTTTTTTTTTAATAATCAGTTTACATATTTTTATTTATTATTTAAAAGAAAATAAGTCATTACCTTAGATGCTGCAGTAGAACTATCTGAAAAAACAGGTGATGTGGGAAGATAATTTTTTTCCAAGTGTTGTTTGGCAAGTTCAATTTCTTTCTTCTTCAATGCAAATACTACCTGAAAAAGATCTCTCATAGCAATAACAACCTAAAAAATAAAATTCATATTTATATTCTTTAAAATAGTTTAACTGGCTTTACCTGACTAGCAGCTTTATCAGTTTTAATTCCAAAAAATCGATGTCCTGTGTCTGGAGAACCAAAGATATATCCAAATGCTCTTGAGTCAGTCATATCCTGAGCTATGAATGAAATTTTATGTACAGGATGATGATAGAGACAATCCTATATAGGTATATATAAAATGAGAAAGTTAGAAAATGCTTCGTTTAAGCAATAAATTTATACTTTACCCCAGTTTTTTCATCTCTAAGTCTTAGTCCATCTATAGCTATATTTACAGTTATTCTTTGTTTATGTTCACCAGCTGCTCTTATAGCCATTTTTAAATCGCTCAGTGCCTCTTGACACATTCTATCTCCCCTTGCTTCTGATACCTCTAAAATACCTATTAGCTTAGCCTTAAAACTGACCCCATCCCCCAAAAATCTTGTTGTTTCATTTTTATCTACAAAAATTAAATGCTTGTAATAAAATGGAAACCATGCATATTAAAAATTGTATACTTACATTTTAAAGGGCTAGTTTTCTTCCTTAGCGTTTGCATTTTCACCCCTTTCTTATTTCTTGCAATCTTTCCAACAGTCCCCTTTTTATATGTCTTATTTTAGTTTAGGGTTACTAGTTCAAATGGAATTGAATATGGTATTTTCATAACATTTCAAGCATATTACTTCAGATATAGATATTTGTTCTTTATTGATTTCAGGCACTCTTAATTCAGAACTAGGGTGGGAAGTTAAGACTGAGGGGGATGAAATACTGCACATGCTCAATAATTTTTCAATATTATCACTATTGATTATACAATTCCAACTGCATACAAGTGCATACCATGTTTAATTTTTGTATATTATAGAGGTAAATATGATGAAATTGGATATAGTTCTGAATAATTATACTGTAATGATAAGAATAAAAAAAGATTTGGTAAATGAAAATATTATAAATGAGAACAGTACTTACTTTTGAGTCACCCTCCATTAAAGTATCTCAAGTATGTACTTTGTACATAGATGTTTTTGTATAATCTTTAACTACAATTCCTGTGTTCATTTAATTAAATTAAACAAACTAAAACATAAACAAACATTCCATGTCATTCGAACGTCAACTTCTAAAGTTAAAAACAATGCCATAGATTAACTAAGTATAAACCAAAATTTTTACTGAAAAAAAGGAAAGATTTTAGTTAACGTCTCCTTTTTGCTGCCAGGGCTAATCTGGACGGGGCCTACTTTGTTTACGCAGAACATTGCAATCCGAACCGCGGTCCTAGGCCATATCATGGTCAATGGCCTACCGACTGGCCAAGTGTCTAATCTATATCTCTGGTCTAAATCAACTTGGGAAATGCCGTGGTCCGTGGTAAAGGCACGGCATATAAATCACACGGCAGGCCAACTCGCTTTGGCGGGAACGCTACGCGCATATCCTGGCGCACGCCGCCATTATGGGTGCCAGCATAAAATAATAAATACAAGAAGAAATGGAAACAGCGTGGCTATGGGTATATTCTTTGCTTAGACAAGGAAAGAGAGGGGACAGGTAACACGGCAGCTGAAAGTGAGGCAAGTTGTCACCACGGGAAATTCTCCAATGGCGTAGCATCAGAAATTAGCTTGTACCTAGACGGTACAAAAAATTTTTAAAACGTAAACTAATATATCGTTCATTTTTGAGTAATGCATATACAATTTTGTATTTTATAGTCTCACCGTTATAATATTAGAATATCTAAGTCGATAATGCAAAATTTATTTAACAGTCACAGTGGACTGATTATCAAGACAATTATTTATTTATTAACGTATGTATAATGTATAATTAAATAAAAAATAATGTAATAACATATGTTTTAAACGTATATATATACATATATACTGTATGATCGAAAAAAACGGCGTCTTGTTTGTTTGGAAATGACAATTTCACAAATGAATATTAAAAATTACATTATTCATTGAATCCGTAAGCAAGTGTGAAGGGAATTGACTAGATTCATTATTATACCGTATAATCGAAAAAAAACGACGTCCAGTTGGCTTGTAAATTACGATCGATGATATTCCCCATCTACATATAAAATGACATAAAAACTATACAAAACGACATCGAAAAAAGACGGCGTCAGCGATAGCTATGAAATGAAGATCGCTGTCATTTTATATGTAAAATTATATGGGGAATGTCGTCGATCGTCATTTACAAGCCAACTGGACGTCGTTTTTTTCGACCATACGGTATAATAATGAATCTAGCCATTCCCCTTCACACTTGCGTACGGATTCAATGAATAATGTAATTTTTAATATTTGTTACCTTCAATCATAAGAATATCCTAATTTTCCACAAAAAAATAAACAATTCTAGAAGCTTTGTGTTATTTTATTTATTTTTAAATTTTTATTAATTACTCACTGAAACTATTATTATACACCTAAATTAGCAAATTTTTTGAAAGAATATTTAAAAAAATATATGTAGTAACAAGTAGCCCACCACAAGTTTGTCCACCCCTAGCAAATCTTGGCAGGTAAATTTAAGTTTTATATAACAACTATACATATAGATTTTTTATCACTAGAATTTTTAATTGTTTTTATAGTTTACAATTATTTTACATATTTGATAACAATACTTTATACATTTTATTACATGTAAAATATATGTATAAAAAAATGTTTATTGCAGAAATTGTATTTCTCTGATTATAATTCCCTACGCCACTGGAGAAATCCATGCTGAGTAGCATTATTTTATAGTTTCGAACATTAATTATAATACAGGATATTGAAAATACTGCTTGGAATTATTAAAAATAGTTTGGTTTGGATGTGGTACAAAACATATTAAAAGCATTTTACATATTTTTACTGCTATAATGAAAAAATGTACATTTTATGACCACATAACAAAAGTTGTGTATCGATTTTTATCTGTGAAATGTAATTCCAGCCACTTTTTTTCTCGCTTGGCCCTTGTCATGTACCTGAACATCTCACCATAAGCATACTAAACAACACAGTTTATAACTTAAAACAAAACAGTTGTCACAAAAAACATAAAATTGCCTCTGGGTGTCACTGAAATCTTGTCACCAAAGTATGGTAGTCGCCGATCGAATTTTAAATTTCTAACTGATCACTGAGAATATGCAGCATAGCCGTCCCCTCTTTTCCTTGTCTGAGGGTGAGCAGAGTTGAGACGAGTATTTCCAGTAATTCTATTGGTTGAAACATTCATATCTCTCAGAAATTTTATCTGTCAAATCTATCGGTCAAAATTTCAGCCAGAAATTTTGTCGCTGGAAATCTGGTTCAAGGTCATTACGCCGTTACCGATCTGCCGTTTTTAGGATAGTGGCTGCACCCCCTGGGGGTGACAGTGAAATGAGAAAAACGGTTAGTGTCATTCCTGTCAATTCTCCTCACGACAAGTATGGCTGCCTGTAAGGACAGCATTGTTTTTGTCTAACTTTTGAATAAGAAGACTAAAATGGTGGGTTCAAGTACAATAAATAAAATAAAATAAGAATAAAATAAAAAGGTTGGAATAAGGAATTCTTATTTGTGTGCGTTCATAGAGTCAAATAAAATAAAATAAGAAATATATATTTGCTCATGCGCAGTACGATGAGGCTGGATAAAATTTAACTTTTACGATTGTTTATAGTAATTTTACTATTTATAGTATATTTATTTATTTGTTGCCTACTATATTATACATTTTACTTACGTGAAATTATAAAATAAATTAAATCCAAACTGAAAATATTTGTAGGTTAGAATTAAGTGTGCGCAAAGCCGTTTTCACATAAAATAAAACAAGAAGTTAAAAGATAAAGACTTCTTATTTTATTTGTTATTTTATTTGGCTGTATGAACGCATGTACGGTATCCCATATATAACCAACTTCTTTCTTGGCTTATTTTGCTTTGGTTTTATTTTATTTTGTATTTTGGCTGTATGAAATTCACCATAAGCAGCGAGCATAATCATAGACTTAGAATAAAATATAGCTAATTACATTTGCTGGTCAAATATTAATTAATTTTTGTAAACATGTTTATCACTCCTGGGTGCAGCTGACCTCGCCTGTCTGAGAGTCTTTCGCCTCCAGCCTAAGTGTTGCCTAAAATGTCTAAAATATTATTAATATTTTTTTTTTGTTATACACATATGGAGATATTAAAACTGTATTTAATAATGTAGTGTTTAATAGCAGAAAGTATGTATTAAATAGTCCCTATACTACTAAATTATAAGTCGGAGACTATTTAAAATGACAAATTCTTTTACAATTTGGCAACACCCATCAACTGCTGCCTGTTCATTCTTTTTTATTCTCTCAGTAGAGCCATGTAGCAGGTGGATGACACTTCTATGGGGAGGAACTGAAATGGTTGAAAACTGACTACAAGCGATTTTCTAGGAATCTTCCTTACCGATAAATTATTGACAAGAGTGACAGATAAAACCTTGACATTCTTTCAGTATAACTGTTCATCTCTTTTTCTTTCTAAAGTGTGCGTTGAAAGGAGACAAAAACAATTTTTGTAACCCATAATTTGTTATTCGAACACCACTTTTCTCCTTGTCGGGTCGTTGACGTTGACTTGTCGCCATTTTATTTCTTTTGTTTACACGCTGCAGTTTGCTTTGTAAATTGAATACATAAATTATTTAGGCAAATATAGGTTTTTGATAAAACTCCTTGGACTAACGTGTTGGTAAGTGTTGATAAATAAGTTTTTTTTCATCTTAACATGCTCATTGTCATTCTCCTGATTTAGGTGACAGAAAAGGATCATCAAATCAAATTGAATTTTATATTTTTTCATCCCAGGACCGATAATAAAATATATATTTTATGGATACCTTCCTAAATATCAACGAGATGAGCCATCGGAAGAAAGGGACCATAGTACAAAACAGAAAGGTGATCTTTTTTCTTTCCACTTAGGATATTGAAATTATTATATACTGTAGTCGTGTTTGGCATTATGCTCTTAGAAATATAGGTAAACAAAGAAGAACAGATATAAAGCATCCCAGAGGAAAAGAGAGGCAATACCTGTACTCTCTCTCTGATATTTGTGAAAGTTACGGCAAAGTATTGTTGTAAATGTCATCTTTTTAATCGACCTGAAAACTTCGAGCAAAAAGATGACACTTTCAACAAAACCCTGACAGATATCAGAGACGATACAGGTTTTTCCTCTCTTTTTCCCTGGAATACTTTTAATTTATTATTCTTTGTTTATCTAGATTTCTCAGAGCACTATGAACGAACTCAGCTTGTATGTTTGAAATAATCGTCCAGTTGGCTTCAAAATGATGATCGATGACATTTCCTATATAATTTTACTTTCAAAATTATGATATATATCGTCATTTCTAAGCCATCTATGACGCCATTTTTTTCAGTTTTGTTATAATTAATTTTGTCTCTTGATCTACTTGTAACATTATTTTTTAATTTTATTAATTTATTGTGGTGAAATTAATTTCTGTTGTATATTTGATATTGATATTAAACATATTTTTAAAAAATGGTGTATTTTTTGTGTTTTTATCTATGTCATAATTAAAAATAAATGAAGAATTAAAATTTTTTATTTTTTTAAACTTCCCGCCATGCGTGACAATCTAGTCCGTAGTTCCTACAAGCGATATTGGGGGCGCTAGTAGCAGTAGACTTGTCAACAGTGTCAAATTTAAACGTCAATTTCACTTTCCAATATTTAGCAGTGCTCACCCCCTTCCTTGTGTATGTGTTTTGTGCATAGTAAAGTCGTCGCAAAACCTTGTTGTCACAGCTTCTCCATGGCTATTTTATTGTTTTTATTGGATGGTTTTGATTTTGTACTGATTCGATTTTCTTAGTGTGTGTGATTTTATTTAGTGTTTATTTTATTTTTACTTTTTGAATTTTCTAGTTTGTAATGAATTATGAAAACATGGTTCGTCGGTGCCAAATTTGTAAGAAAATGGACTATTTAAGTCCTGGGAACAACATTCACAGGTAAGTCAAATCTATTTGGTTTTATGTCAGTGGCGTTGTAGAAAGCGGTTATTTAGATAATAATTTAGTAAATTATAAACCCTGGAAAA